ACTCCTCGCGGATTCGAGCTTTCTCCCTCCAAGCGAGTCCTTCCGAACTCCTGATGTAATCTTCTTACTGTCCGGTTGAGCAAGCAAGCTCCCAGTCCGCCAGCGAAAGTGCCAATCGGCAGTCTTCGCCGACTATCTCTCGTCGGTGAACCGAGCTACGTCCCCGGCCCGCTGTATCCTTTCTGTTTTCAGCAACAACGCCCTTCACTCCTGTCTGCTGTCTGATCGCCATTTGGTGCGAGAATTTCTCAACATTCTTCTTTCTGCGGCTCTCTCGGTGATATATAGCTGGCGTTCTTCAGCTTTAGTGAGTGACCACGTTTTACGGCCGTACGCAGTTGATGGTAAAATTGAAGAGGTTGGCACCGGTTTTTTTTCCTGACTTTGTCAAGGAGAAAAAATGATGGAAAGGAACGAGGGCCAACCACCGGTCTTTTGCACTGAATCCCCCCCCCCAATCTGTTGATGCCTCATATTGTTGTCGTAGCCAGTGTAAATGCGTTTATCGCCCTCTTCGATATTTTCACTGTTTAATATTGCCTGGACCTTCAGCAAAATACCCGATGGCAACATATTCGTCTTTGACTAATTGATTCGCACTCCGGTTTTCATACTGATTCTCTCGATCTCTTGCAACACATGTCTTGCTTCCTTCTCGTATTATTCCCACTGCATATTTCTAGGGGCATAAGTTTGGACGATCTTTAAGGTCCTGGTCTTGTTCCGATGGTGGCCCAGCATGCCTGGACTTTGTGACTTCACCTGTCAGGAGACGATTCTTGTAGAGCAGCTTTAGCTGACTACACCTCTTCCTGTCTTTCGCTCCATCTCCTTATCCTAGCCATATCCAACTTCCATCTTTCCAGATACCGTATGTTTATTTCTATCATAGAGGTCTCAAAGAGGTCAAGGATGTCACGGGCCAATGACGGCTTTTCCTCTATTAACTATTTTCACGTTTCTTCCCTTCTCAGTATTTTACAGTCCTAGATTCAAGCGGTGAAGGAAGTACGAGTCCATTTGCTAGATGGTGGCTTTTCACTTGTGCTTCTTAGCAGCTCTCGTCAGTCAGATACCGAACCGTCGCCGTGATAGGAGTCGAGAGACGTGTGGGGTGCTGAAGCCAACTTATTCTATTGTCATAGTATATAGGGTTACCACCCATTGGCAGGGCTGAAGGTGTTCTGAAGAATTTTTGTACAGACGGGTCCCTCAGTTCTATAATGATTTCTCTGAGGATTGAATTTCTCGCACTTGAACCTGACCACACCCAGGTGGTCTCATCTCTGCTTGTGCATAACTGCTTATCATTCGCAGCTAACCTCCATATCTGGAGGTCGTTCCCTTACGTGCAACCCAGGAAAGTGCCAGGTTGCCAGTAACTAGTTACACTGACCATGGGGATACAATTTCATGATATCCTTGAAGTATCGGTCTCGTCGGACGCTTTCATAATCTTCACCTTTTTGATGTTCACTTGTAGCCCAACTCTGATACGTTGTTGCACACGCTTTCAGGGATTGTCCGTAGGCTGCTTGCGAAGTCGCTTAGCATCGGCATACTCAAGATCCGTTGGAAATACCGTTGTGAATGCCTCGAACCCCGTCTCTGACTAACGGCCAGTACCTCGTTGTTATTTTGGATGATGCACTTCCACATAACGAAGTCCACCATGACGTTGAAAAACAAAGCAGAAAGCATTTCACCTTGACGAACTCAACTGAGTTCCACGTCACACCTTTGGCAGTTTAAAGTTCCATCTCGCTTTTCAGTGTCATTATATTCCTGTTCTGTCTCTATATTCACTCCATTTATCCATGTGTTTTTGCTTGATTTTACGTGTGCTGTGCTGCATATTCTCTGCCAATCGATTGATTCA